TCAAATGATATCTACAAACTCTGTGAAGTAAAAGGCAGCACAACTGGGATTGGAGTGAATTGGATAAACAACGACTGCATCCCTCGACTGGTAGCTCATCTTATTTATTTCAATGGCTGGTTATTTGACTTTTCTATAATTTTATTAATAAAAAAAATTAAAACAATGTCGAGTCAAGCACTAAGACGTCTGAGACATTCAGCAGCGCGGGTCAGTTCATCCAATTCTTGGTTACCTTCTAAGTCCCTGTGATCCAAGTTCGCCATCTTCCATGTTTTCACAGATCTGGACTTTATGTTGATGTATTTAATAGCCTTAATTGGGGCTGAGCTGTTATTCCAGAAAGCAAATACATTTCACTCATCTGTCGTAGGCCTTATTTACATGCTCTAGCCTCACCTAACTAAGTGCTCTATATTCTTAGCGCTTTCTGCTTATCCAACAAGTACCCTACAATTGAATTATTAAAGTTAAGACTGAGGTTGTTGACCAATTTGGAGAGTACTCTAACATCCTTCTTAAGGATGGTGGGCTTATTTGTTGAACTTTTGATTTGTGGATAAACACATTTTAGATTTATCCGGGCTTACAGGGAGTCTCTCTATTACGATTGGAATGTGATTGTATTGGGTAGTCATACTGGACTTTTCCACAAAGGTAAACCAAATTGGGTTGTAAGTATATTATGAAACTGGTTGAATAGTTGAATAGTTGGATCTGGATACGTGTGATAGCGAATATAGATTTTATGCTGAATACACTTCGTGATGTTCGATTGTTGCACCGTGGATTGTAGTTCTGCTATATTCAGCTAACACAATTATTGGGTCTGTTTAAAATGTTAATTCGTTCGTTGATAAATCTGCTTGCAATCGAATATTTTTCAAAAAATGTGTTGTCCTATCTAACCTAGGTTTTGAAAGTCAATCCAGTCTCAGAATTAAGATGAGTTGCAGTTTCGAAGGTGAGACATTTTTAATTTTTTTTTTTATTATATCTTCGTGGGATTTTTCTGGATAACTTGAGGCTAAACGTGTTTTCTGGGATCTCTTAATCATTTACTAGGATAATGAATTGGCAAGTACACATGCAAGACTTAAAAAAGTGTGTTCTTATGAATCAACCTTTATAAGCTTACAGTAAAAAAGATTTAAATAATATCGGCGACCAGTCCTGTCGACAAATACTTAATCTAGCTTAACCTTTAATCTACAGTGATGACAGAATTAAGTCCTCATGATGGTTCACTAAGCTTAGAAAATCACAGAAAGAATGTAGCAAGCAATTTAACATATCAAAAAAAAAACAGAATGTTGGAAAACGTAAGAGAAAAAGAATAAATTCTTGGAAAATCATTTGTACCAATATTGAGAATATCGTCGATACCTCGCGCATAAGCAATATACTAGTAAAGCCTATGCACAAGTTCGGATATTTTCGAAACCCAGATTATAGTTGAACAATATTATATCAAGAATTCTTAAGTTTACTAAAGGATATTGAGCCAGACGCGGAACCATAGATAGATATAGATAAATATTTTAGAAATAATATCAGAGACTACTGTTTGCTGAGAATACCTGGTTTTATACACTTGAAATCACCTGGCGGTATATACCCGGTATCTGATATAACAAACCTAAGATTGCATATCAGTCCAGTTAGAAACTATCCTCAGAGAAGTGCTGCAATTGAACTATATTCCATCGGTGTGGACGAAAGTCAAGGTAACATAGAACCCAGGAAAAGGCGCTCGTGCTAGTATTAAAGGGTAGTAGTCATTAGTATATCTAGTATATCTTTCTTTCTCTTTACTTTACTTTTTACTTTACAATAATTAAATACAAAACAAAAATTAATTCAAGTAAAATCCGCGAAAATGGCATGAAACGCAGTCATCGCGGAGTTTTAAAAACTTCTATAAGTAGAGAAATAAACACTCATAACCTTTCTTGTAGCTAGCAGAACTAAGTATCTAAGAATCTCTTGAAAAAAATTAAGTGAAGAGGTGCTTTTGGCAGGTTCCTAATTTCAACGCAGCATTTTATCCATCCTAACGATAAAAATTTTTGCCAGACCTAGAAATTATTTCATATTGTGGCTTATGCAGGCGATGCCGTTATTTCAATTGAAGAAAACATTCAGTATACTCCCACCAATGTTATGCAGATAATTCTGTATAAAAAATATGGCTTAATCTTAAATATGAACAGAACAAATGAAAGTGTCATTGGTACTATTTTATCTTAAGGGGTGACAGAGAGCAACATGCGATTAGCACTGACCAAGAAGCTCTCATAGATACCTAATTTAGAAGATAAGGTAAAAAAGATCTGAACTTGCTTTCTATATATCACCTGGAATAACATATCAGCCATATTCGGGAATTGTATGGCCGACATACTTTATATTGGTTTGGTGGCTAATACTGGTACAGAAACACGGGTATAGAAATCATACAAAGAGCACCTAGCATATGTATTAGTGGTGTCCTAAGAACAAGGCCGACTAAGGCAATAAATATTTTACTGTATTTACTGTCCATAGCCTTATGCAATCAAAATCAGGCTAAGAGAATCATCTCTATTAGCTACCTGTAATAGAGGCTTCTCAAACATATTCAGCAAACTCCCTTTTCATCCCAAAATTACGGGTTTGTGCAAACCTCTAGAAATAAATTTTAATTCATTCAAAATTGGATGAAGGACAAATAGACACGTTACGGATTCAAATTAGAAATGCGAGTAGAAAGCAATGTCGTTTCGATAACATTGGTCACCAGAATCGGCTTTTGCTTACCAGATTACTGTTATTCAGGCAGGTATTGTTGCAGTCAAAGAGACCTTACTGAAGCTCTCTAGGAGAGTACTTTCTACAAAACATATTTGTGTATACACTGTTAGTCAAGCCGTTCGCAAATCACAAAAATCATTTCGGATCACACTAAAGACAATGAAATAGTCCATGACTTGCTGGCAGGGCGCTAGGACATGAGTAACTAAAAAAATTAAATTACAATTAAATCCAAGTAAAGAGGCAGTATATTTCTCCATTTATTTACAAATATTTAATTGTGAAAAATGGCAATAATAAAGCTGATTATTGAACTGAATGAGGTTCGCACATATCCAATGTACAAATGCATTAAAAAGATTTAAATATCAAATAATTTAATGAAGAGTATCAGATACAGCTTTTATCAGTTAACCGGTGGTAATGGTGCAAAGCTGAAGCAAACTCAAAACTCTTTGGATAAGCTCTTGTCATTTTATTATCTCTCCAGTCCAGTTTATTGCAAGGGAAAACATTCATCTAGGCTTCGGTATGCTTAAATAAAAAAATATATCCTCCTTAAATTCAACAAATCAATTAGACTAATTAAAATCATACAAAATTAAATCAATAATAAGAAGAAAAATAAATAACGAAGAGTTTTTCAAGAGACAAATGGATTTATGTTTCTTAATATTTTTTACTCATTAAAATTCCCTGCTTTCTATACACCTATATATTTATGCACACACATACCTAAATTAAAATGATAATAATTGAATCCACATTATATAAGCATAAACATGCATATGTATGTATACACAGCTATGTACAGTAATAATCTTCATATTCGTATTAAATACTTTGACCATATAAAGGCGTAAATATGAACTTTACAAAAGTGCTCAGCTTTATAAGCTTACATATACAAATATATGCGCCTTCGGGCTGTATGTGCATGTGCGAAATTAAAATTGCCAATTCAGTGAAAAATCATTTTTAAAAGTCAATCTATCATTCAATGACAGACTTGAAATTAAAAAAACAAAAAAAAAATAATAAATTGGCAGCTTGAAAAAGAATTACAAAGCAAACGCTGGCAGCGTATTGAAGACATAAAGAGAAAGAGAAGCATAATACAATATACGTGTGTGGATATCTACGAGTATGTTGGAAGAAAGAAAATGCCAATTGATTTCTGCATTTAAGACAAAATTAAACTTAAGTCAATGTTTTCATTTAATTATGCAAATGTTGGGCCCACCAAGTGGGCTACTTTGCCACATACACGTAGTACACATCTACTTGCATATACATACACATATTTGTGTGTATATATGTATGTACGTAAGCATGTCATTCAAGTGTGACTCAAGTGCCGGCGATGAGTTGAAGTCGAGAAATTATCGTTGCAGCCACTGAAAAAATGCGTACAAGTGTATGCACTTCCATACATGCATATGTGATGAAATTTTTAGGAGTCACGACCGATATGCACCAAAATTTTTTTTATTATTATTAAACATTCAACAACAGTTGAGGTGATGATGCTTTTAAGCAAGTCGGGGTCGTGGGGAAAATGTATATGTATTTTTCTCTCTTTGGTTAGAAACTGGAATAAATATATATTAGTTCAGAATTATTGTTTTTTATGACAGCAAGACGCTATATTTTTAAATAGAAATTTATAAAAAAGTAATTAGAAATTAATTTAATTTAATATAAAATCAAGACCAATTGCATATTTTTTTATGAGACAAACTATCAAAGTACAGAAATAAATATTTCAAAATATAAAAAATATGCACCAGCCTTTTTAGCTTAAGATTAAAGTTTATTTAACATCTCCAAGATTTTTTTACCCAAAAAAATTTATGCGCCAGTCTTTTTAGTTTAAGTTTAGAGATTATTTAACAGCTCGATGAAGTAATGATATTTTACGATTTGTTACTTCAATTTTTATTTCTTATAGATATTTCTTTAAAACGCTGAAATGTAGGCAACGAATTTTATATCATGCCGAAAACGTTGCCTACTTTTAGGATGCTCTTAGAAATATGAAATTAATATTTTAGCATAAAATTAGTATCTTTTTTATATAAGCAAAAATAAATAAATAATAAAAATTTCATTTCGTGCCATAAACTATTCGAAGGAACTAACTACCCGCCCTCGGCTTTTACATATATTCTCTGTTCTTACACGTTTTCTCACATTCTTTCGCACAGTTGCGCCCGTTTGCCGACCAGGACAACGTTTCGCCTACAGTTCCGGTCGACATGAGATGGTTAAAATAGCCTGCGAAATTGAGGCAAATCCAATGGAGGCAACATACATCTGGAAATTCAATGCAACACTCGGCGAGACTATCGACATACCGGCATCACTCATCGCTGTGGATCGTGGACGTAGCATAGCGCACTACACGCCAATGACGGAGAATGTAAGTATTCACCGAACAGAAGTCAGTTGAGTCGGTGTTGTTGTTTTTGTTATTTACTTTGTAGTGGAAAATGTCGTTTGGGAAGTAGAGTGTTGCAGATAAAGCAGCAGCTGCTGAGTACCGTCGACTAGTTGACTGACTGCCTGTCAGCTGACTGATTATAATGGGCGTGTATGTAAATGTGTATATGTGCTGACGTTTAACTATATGCAGCATTTCAGTTGATCGAATGTCAGCGGAATGAATTATGATGTGACGCCTGTCTTGCCACTGTAGCAGCCAACTGTACACTCTACACGAAATGTGTGCGTTGCAGTTGTCACGTGACATTTGCACCTTCAAATACACGACAAAGCATACATTTACTTACATACATAAATACACTTAGCCACACATATGAAGATGTATGCATAAGTGCCAGCCAGCCAGTCAGTCTCTTACTCATGCATTTATGCACGCGTCTAAGTGTGAGTCTATACATTGGTATACACATGCATGTGTGTGTATGTAAGCGTTAACGTCAACGATAAATCATCAATTTTCCAATAGATTCGCATAATTTTCCAACTGAATTGCGGTTTTGAATTTTCAATGAACCTAACAGAAGCAAGCGGCCAACAAAACGAGCACTCAGAGCCACCCAAAAGAGGTCAACGTTAACCAGCTGTCTGCCGCCATGATCAGTGTGCTTGTGTGTCTGCCACACATCGTCAGACGCCGTCGCCATATTTGTGCGTACGAGCCTTTTGACATCCATATGTCCTGGCAGCTTTGCATTGCATAGGCATACTAATAAATTTTGCTTCACTATTTTTTTGTTTCTATTTTTTTTTGAATTTCGGCATTTTCCTTTACAGCCTTCCCTCCTTATTCACCAACTTCACACTTTGGCTTCATATTTTCCTATTTCTTTTTTTTTCAATTTACAGGACTATGGCACTCTGTTGTGCTGGGCGAGCAACGAAATTGGCGATCAAAGTGAGCCGTGTGTTTACACCGTTACACCAGCAGGTGAGTGTGAAAAAACAATAACAATAGCAAGTGAACATAAATATAGCAGGCCTGGTTTGAATGGCAAGCGGTAAAACGCTTAACACAAGTTCGAAAAAACAGAAGCAGATGAAAAAATTGAGGTAACAGAATAGAAGGTGGAAGGAAGAGTAATATTAGTCATGCTAAAAAAGTTCACACCAGGTAACCGCTCACATACGCACGCATTATGTTTGCGTCCTGTCAGCGTGTCACCTATGCAACTGGGAACATTTCAATTGCGCCGAAGGCAGGTAGCACGTTTCTAGGTATTTTACTTCACTCTGAACTTGCTGTGTTATCACCTCGGTTTTTGTAAAACCAAATATTGCTGTTTAAAAGAAGAGAAAGCGTTTAAACACGACACACTGATTTGGGTAATTTTTTAAATTAAGTAAACTCGAAACTATTTTTATTGAACTATGATTTAAATTAATTTTTATAAACTTATAAAATTAGTTGCAAAAAATTTCAAACATAATTGCAAATTAAAAAAAAAAAAACAAATGAAATTAAAAAATAAATAAACAACCGAAATAAAATAAAAAATGAAAGTGAAATAAAAAAAAACTCCTTAATATACCTCAAATTAAATTCGAATAAAAAGAATTATAAAATTAGCAAATAAGTATACCACAGGACAAATTTAAACAAGAAAAGGAGAAAAAAGCCAAATTCAATTTTATGAATTAAAATATAAATAATATAATATAAAATAAACTAAAATTAAAAAGAAAATAAAATCAAATAAAATAAAACATAAAAAAATAAAACAAATCGTAATACAAAAAATTAAATAAAAGAAAAATTTAAATAAACTTTTATATCAAATCCAATGAAGTTAAATAAAAAAAATTTAGAAATAATAAAACACATGTAGTAAGAAAAAGTATTAAAAAAAATGAAATAAAACAAATTTTACATAACAAAACAGAATAATATAAAATAAATTTAAAAAAAAAAATTAAATAAATTAATATAAAATAAAATGAAGTAAAATAAAAAATAAAATAACATTATGTGTAAGTAAATACATTAAACTAAAACAAAAAAACAATACAAAAATAAATTAAACTAAAGTAAATAATATGAAACAAGCCAAAACAAAATAAAATAAATAACATAAAATAAAATAAACCAAAATAAAATAAATTAAAATATAATCAAAATGAAGTAAAAAAATTAAATAAAATAAATTAAAATAAAACTAAATAAATAAATGAAATGAAATAAAACAAAATAAATTAAGTTAAATAAAAGAAAATATAAAATAGATAATATGAAAAAAATAAAATAATATAAAAAATTAAACTAAAGTAAATTAAATAAAATTATAAAAAAAGAAAATATAATTAAATCAAATAAAATAAAATAAAACAAAATAAACTTAATATATAAATAAAAAATTAAAAAAATAGGGTAAAATGATATAAACTAAAATATAAAAGAAAATAAATAATAAAATAAATAAATTAAAATAAAATCAAATTAAATAAAATAAAATGAAATAAAATAAAACAAAGCAAAATAAAATAAAACAAAACAAAATATAAAGCCTAATAAGTTTAATTAAAATAATGAATTAAAAATATGGAATAAAAAACAAAGTAATATAAAGAAAACAAAAATATATAAAAAGAAATTAAATGAAATAAAGCAAATTAAATTAAATTATTGAATTATTAATCAAATTAAACAAAGTAATGCAAAAATTATTAAAAAAATAATTAGCACAAAGTGCAACAATATTAAATTGTATCAAAGAATATTGAATTTGCTACAATGAAATAATATGTAATAAAATAAAAATCACATTGAATTATAGAATTGAATTTTTGATGGTGAGATTTTTGTAAATCTTGCGAAGAAAGAGTTATCCTACACTAGAGCAAATGTCAGATATACTGCGCGCATCCTGTGGCATGTGGCAACATCTTGCTTAGGTCATCTTCTTGAGTTGACTGTGTCAGTCTCATATTGTCGCTTTTGAAGAAGTAATATCCAAACAAAACTTCGAACTAAAGAGCGGAGCAGATATTAGTTCACTATGGGCACAATTGCCTTTCTTCAATTATTTGAGGATTCTTGGAGCCGCAAACAAGTTATTTCTCGGTATTTATATTGTATATTCCCGTGTGAGAAATGCGCATCGTGCTGAAGAAGATTTTGTTGGAAAAATCTCCTTCAACCAACCGTACCAAATACGCCATAATGTGCCGTAAAAATGTCCCAGCTGTTGATAACAACGAGAAGTAGACGCTTGGAGCCCCCGACTATACTTCTACTTACAGTAGTGATATTTGAGATGGAGCAAGCAAAACGATTATGCACAGGCCCGCATCCCATCCAGTTTCCTCAAAGTTCTTTGAGAATTTATCAAGTTTTTGAGTTGTTGGCCAACAAAACGTGGCCGAGTTTTAGTCACCATTTTTGTGGTAGAGTTTAACAATTTTAATGCGTCGTGTAGTTGTTCAACGGTGCACAAACCCACGAAAATGATAACCCTATATATATCTTCTATTTAATATTTTAGAAAAAGTGGAAACAGCTGATAGTTAGACAAAGAAAAGTTAATAGAGATATGCAAAGGAAGATCTATGAAATGTATTTGAAAAATAAGGGTCAAAAATAAATAAAAAGCAAAACGTAAAGTGGAAACTATGGTCATGAAAATTTAAAAACTTTTATCCAATAAAATAAATAAGGATTTATTTGTTTCAAGCAATAGATTTTAAATTTTTATTTCTTTTCAGTAACAAAAAAAAGATAAAGCGAAGAGTTAAATTACCACTGTACGCCTATTAAGAGATTACAGAGCTCGGCGTTCAGTAGTTGTAATTGAAATATTGCTTTCCTTAAGTTCAGCTCATTAATCTTATTGGCATCACGCTTTTTAAAGGTTTCTTTTTGGACATGTGCATTTCAAGAAGAAACAAAACGCATTTTGTTGAATGTTATGGCAAAATTTAACTTTATTATATAGACAAGAGCTTAGCATTATATTTTAAAAGTGAATCTAGGTAAACGATGGCCAAGGCTTTTTGGAATTGTAGATTAGAGGTCTAATTTTCGATCATTTTTTGAAGTAACTGGGGCCGAATATTCTCTTCCAAGACGTCAATAATTTATATGTGTAGACAAGCGATTTCACCCCGGAGATAATACACTAATCATGTTGTCTTGAATGACTTGATTGTTTCGTTGGCTGAATGACCAACGGTCGTCCATATCAACATCCTCCAATTCAGATACTAAGAAGTCACTAATCTTAGTTCTACAATGGTCCCCAATAGGTCTCAAATTTTGACCGCCTTCATTTTTGAAGAAATATGGGCCAATGTTTTCCTTCGCCCGTAGAATACACCAATCAGTGACTGAGCTTCGTCGCTGAACAATATAAAAAGTTGTGTCGGTGGCCATCTCGTTTTGTGCCCATTTACAAAAGTGCGACGCGCATGATTGCCTTTCAGCTTCAATTCCTTTACGAATGGATTTTGTAAGCTCATACAATACTTGCTCCACACAGAAACGATGTTTTCGGTGTACACTGTACGGCGCCTCCGATGATACGTCCTTATTCAATAAGCTAAATGCGTTGCGAAACCGATTATTGCATCTGCTGGGCGACCGTAGATTGAACGCAGAGCGCGATGTGTGGCCCAAACCAAACAAATATTTTCGTAATAACTTTGCAAACATTGTGCCTAATAAGTACGGGCTTTCATTATGAAATGCGTAAAGAAAAACTTAAAAACCACAACAGCAATTTTTTTTAAATAATTTGCAGTGAAATATTTGGTATCTGATTTTTTTATTATTATTATTTTTTTTTTTTGTTAATCAAAAATTTTTATACACAATTTTCATATCTACATGTGTACTAGTCTCCTCCGAAAGGTTACAATCAAAATGACGTAGAAGTAGTTATGTATGTATATAAAAAAAATATATGATTTATCTGTCTATCAAACGAAATTGAATTGGAGAATGGAAAAAGTCGAATTTTTTCTGCGACTTCCAAAATCCTGCCCAAATCATTTCGATTCGCAGTAAATATCAATAGGCCACATCTTCTTGGTTTTTCTGCGTTTTTTTTTTCTGGCTTTTGTAGATTAGCGTCAAATGACAAAGTTTTGTTTGCAAGCGTTTTATATTCAAATCGTAGGGAAACTCTAAACACATTCCCATTTTGATTTCGATTTTTCCAACAACTCGCATTCCATTAGACAAAAAAAAAGACTTAACTAAAATCAAAAAAAATAAACAAAAATAAAGTAGAATATATTCACACAAACAAATTCTTTTTCCACTTCACAGGCGAACCGGATCCATTGGTTAACTGCACGCTACTCAATCAAACGTCGACCGGCTTTCAGATTGAATGCATCGAAGGCTTCGATGGTGGCCTGCAGCAGGATTTCATAATGGAAGTGTATGTGAACGGAACGACACGCCATCCGAAAATTTACAAATCAAAGTGAGTAGACCATATCCATGCCATGCGTCAGGCGACGGACGCAAACTAAGCAATGCTGCCATTTGCTCCAACCGCCACACAAACTTTGCTGTCCGGCTGCCGCTTTATAGTTTACCTATCACGGCAATGCCTTTCATTCATGCCCAAAATTGTGTTGAATGACCACTGGCAGCTAGAAAACAACATACGTCCATTTGTTGTAGCTTCGTTGGCTTGACGCACAGTTGCAGCAATTTTAGTAGTGAAAAAATAAAAAAAAGTTAAAAAAAAACAGAAAAAATCCCATGCGTCATGTGATGCAGAATTTCACTTCAATTGCAGCATTTGTCCGAGTCTTTTTTTCATTAATTTTTCAAATCTTGTATTGCTTCGCTTTTGTCTATTCTCATTTCTTTATTGCTCTTCGTCTCTGTTTTCATTTTCCTATTTTATGCTACGCTATGCTCGGTTGATTCTTGAATGGCTGGATTTTTTTTCTCTTCGTTGCTGTTTCGGTTCGTCATTGATGTGTCCTATGTATGAATGGCTGCCACTTTTGTGTTCGTGTGACATTTCAAATGCCTACAATTCGCTGTGATGACGACAACAACAACAAAATTGTATAACACCAACAATAGAACACCATATTTTGAGGTGCGAGGATTGGTGCCTGGTGCCGGTTACAATGTGTTCCTGGTGGCACACAACACAAAAGGCCGCAGTAATGCGACCATCCTGCAAGTCTATACCCTCAAGGATCCGGAGAAACAAACGGGTGAGTAAGTTTGGAATTCTTATGAAGAATTTAAATATTCATTTCTTTGAATATGAAATAATTATAAAATATAGTTAAACATGAAACAGCAAAAGTGGTAAATTATGTAAAACAACAAATCTTTGCTTTCAAATCTCTCTACATAAATCAACAATACAGTAGTGAGCGGTTCTCCTAATTTTTTGAGCTCTCCTATTTTCTTCAAGTCATATGTAGTTCCGTAAACATGTAGTTTGGGAAAGGCTAGAAACCGGACACTCACAAAGTAGAGCTAATCTTCTTACTTAGTTTAAGGTTACATAAATAGCGCAAGGTTCTTCGATTGTTTCAAATTGCGATAAAATGAACGCCTTTTGTTCTTACTTTTGTTTAGTTGGCTTCGCGGAGAGGCTAATTCTAAAGTCCCACAAATAATCTTTCCCCCAATCTTGGACGGCAATGAAAGATAAAAACAGGCTGGCCAAATTACTGAGATTTCTAAAGCCGTTTCAAAGTCGGAGGTCTTTCTATAAGAAGTCATACTGAGCTTAAAGAGAGCGGATATTTCACAAATCACTATTTCTAAGTGGCCCACATACCTACCCACTGATTGCCAGAATAAACACAAAAAAAAATTATTATTTCGCTGGTCTCCTCCTCTTCATGTGCGAGTCCTAGGATCAACCTTTGCCTGAAATATAAGACATTACTCTGAAGGTCCAAGCCCAAGAGGTAGTTCTCTGCTAAGGGTATACCTCTAAGAATTTCATCAAGTTTTTGCTTTTCTGCCTAAGAATACAAGCTCCTGACCCTAAATGATAAATATGGTAATCTCTTTAGCTAAGGATAAATCCAAATTTTTGGGGATGCTGTGGCTATAACTCCCATATTAAGCTTTGTGAATTCAATTACATAGTAGACATACAAAAATACACTTGGTAATTAATTTAACCCTAGTTTAAGCGTTGCGGTATAGCTCAGTTGAAGACTATTCAACGGTCCATCAAAGTTGATATTTGACCTTGGCGTTAAGTATCTCATTAGAAACACTATTCGCTGGCATATATTTGAGATAGGTAGCCTACGCGCTGGATTGTGAAATTCCAGAGATTAGGCTGCTCATATAAAAACCGCAAGCTTTTCTCGTCTTCGCAAAGAAATTGAGGGCAAAGGATCTCGGCCCTATAAAGCCTTAGAAGCCGTCATCTTTTAAGAGCACAGTAGGAAATTTGCTTATGATATTAAGTTTTCAGAGGGTTCCAGAGAATTTCCTCCTACTCTTTGAAGTTCAAAGAAGATGAACTCAAAAGCCAACTCCTCCTGCAAACGGCGCTTATAACTTTAACAAGCTCATCAAGTGTTTTTGCAAAGAGTGCTGAGTTCTACTCCGCAACTAAACTTCTCTCTAGCGAAGCCCTTAATTAGTAAAAGGACAACTTCTGCGTAGAAGTCTTCTAATGTACCCATTATCCGGGTTTCACTGCCTCTCTGAAGATCGGGTTCAAACAATATCCAAAAATAAAAGTAATTTTTCTAATTGCGTTCGCCTAACACGAAAAAGCACTTTATGAAAATCCACCGACTGTTTGGAGGTGGCCTAGAATAATTTATAAATCACTCAATTTATTGGAAGCTCGTCCCAAATATGGTTTCAGCGGTTACAAAGCGCTTTTTATAAATATATATCGTACGATATGCTGAAAACCCCCACGATCCGAAATGAAAATATTCCAACCCTAATGATAAGAAACTATCCAACTGCCCGCTAGTCTATGTAAACAATAACTCAAGCAAACCAAACTTACTGTGAGCGAAGATCACATTAGTTCAATTCAAATTCTTATCAGCCAGACACAATTCGTAAATAAGAGTAGCTGCATGGCGTGGATACTTTGAACTTCCTTCAGAACCATATATAGGATTATTATGGATAGATCCGTACCGAAAAATATTTTCCATGCACTGACATAGACTAGTAGACTAGGAGGCATCTTAGAGCATGTTTCGTAAATTGAACAAATGGACTGACCTATGTTCCGGGGCCTACTTTAAAGAAGAAAAAATATTTTCGAAGCTAATTAAGGCAAAAAGATATCTTTGTAACAAATTTTATGTTACTCGAACCATTTTCGAATAGATCGACTCCAGGCACATTATCAGGAAGAAAAAATATTCACCATAATAGTTTAGGCCCAAAGATACCACTGTAAAAATATGTTTATAAAATTGTGAATTTTTTCGAGTACATCGTTACCAAGAGTACTTCCCGGAAGAAAAATGGTTTCCCATGGCAATTTAGGCGAATAGCTACCTTCGTATTAAATTTCATGAATATCGAACGATTTAAGTATAATTCGGATTTTTTCGAGTCTCCATTTAGCTCCGCAGTTATACTATTTTTGAGTTTCGAATAAATATTTTTGAAATATTTATTCAATTAAGTAGTTTGTAAAATATTTTTTTATTTAATTATATAATCTTATTTACTTTCAATATATTTTATTTATTATTATCTTTTTAACTTTTTAGTCGTTATTACTTACAAAAAGGGTGACTTTCAAACATCACCACGCTTTTATGAACACTCAACTATAACTAGTATTTTAACAACACAAATCTACAACAGTACAATTACTAAAACTATAACAAATAAAAGTAAGAATTTTTCAGCGCAAAATTTATAAAATTCCATGCAGTCATAAAAACATTATAGATCATTACATACATACACATACATACTTTCGTAGTGGTAATAAATTATTTAGCTATTCGTATTCAAAACTAAAATACGTAAACAAGTTCAATGCAAATACTCACACATATGTACATAAATTGAAAATTCCCTTCCCTTGTGCCCATATTTTCCCTTTTTCTTTACTCGAATTTTCAATTTTTATTTTAAACATTTTTTCCAGATCTTTCACTCGCCTATGCACCCGTAATCGAGGATATCCGGCCATTTATCGGCATACTAGGCGGCATTGTGGTTGGCATTTTTGTGGTGGCGCTCGTAATTGTCATCATTGTTCGTATGCGTGGCTCATCGGGACGCGATCGCAATAATTACTCGCATCCATCGACAGTGGGTAGTGGGCGTGGCAATAATAATAATGGCAGCCTCAGCATTGGTACTCTACACAATGGGCAATCAATACAGGATATACGCATCGGTCGGGATACTTGCCATGTGACTAGTAGTCTCGATAGTATAGACAAAAATCCGGATATTATACCGCAAGGTGGGTATTTGTGGGACAAGCAATCAATTGAGCCACAGTTAGAGTGGTTGCGGAAGACCACTTACTTGCATATGTTTGTATGCTAGTGGGCATGAAGTAGCTTAAAACACAATTGCCTTGTTAGATAAAGGGATTCACTCAGAGCTACAGTCAATTTATACACAGCCAAATACACTAAAGTACCCGCGCATTGTCAATATCGATGAATTTGATGGAAATGTTAAATAATAAATATAATTAACATTAAAAAAAATGTCCTAAATAAATGTAAATTAAATACAAAAATAAAAATCAAATCAAATAAATTAAAAAAATAAATAAAATAGAATATAGTAAAATAAAATAAAATTAAATACAATAAAAAAAATAAAATAAAATAACCAAAAATAAAATGAAATGAAATAAAATAAAATAAAATAAAATAAAATAAAATAAAATAAAATAAAATAAAATAAAATAAAATAAAACTAAAATAAAATAAAACTAAAATATAATAAAAGAAAATAACATGAAAAATAAAATACAAAAAAAAAAACAATAAAAAAATTAAAAATTAGCAAAATGTAATATTAAGTATATTAAAAAAATTAATATAATATAAAATGAAATAAAAAAAATAAAAATTAAAGTAATTGAGGAAAATATTATCTCATTTGAAATTAGACTAGTGTTAAGTATAAATACATATAAAATGTACCAGAGTGTACCCTTATTGCTTTTTATACTTAAACTAAATTCTTTTGTACTTTTACTGCTATTCAGACGGCCGTGACGATGATGAAGAATGGACCACAAAGGGACATAATCGCGCTTATGCCACAGCGGCTTTAGCGGAACAGAATGCCGTCATCACCTCCTCGACGTATGATCACCTAATGCCAACATATGCTGTTGTCGATAAGAAGTCAGCGGCGAATCATTTGCAACAATTACAACAGCAGCAACTACAACAGCAGCAACAGCAACAGCCACCGCCACATGGTCAGTATATACATTACAATGCGCTGATACCTGTAAGCAAAATGGGTGGTTATGCCCAACAGCAACAGCAACAACAACAGCATCAACAGTCGCAGCAGCAACTAAATAAGGTAAGTGTGAATGTGTATATGTGTTGAATATATATGCAAAACAAAGGTAAGCAATAAAGCGCAATACCATTAAATCAAAACCAAAAGCCAAACCATAGCCAATTGTAGCCAAATAGGCAAAGCCATTACTGCAGCGTTAATCCAAATGCATCACGGCCACGGCGGCTGTCGCTGCAGCGTGAACAATGCTCCAATCCTCTTCCTCTCTCTTTCTCACTCTCGCTCTGTCTATGTACCCCTATCGTTGCAATAAGCATTAAATCGACGAAATATGCACTCAAGCCCAGTTTATTTATTACCTGCCCCACTGCATGCCTTCGTATTCATGGCGCGCTTAGAAATTTATCACCATTGCGCATAAATGTTGCACATTATGTTGCCGCATGCGGCGGCCTGCAAACAAAACATTGCCACGAATTCGCTTGTTTGCACTGATTCGCACACAATTTGACTTGTGCGTTGTTCGTTGCTCGTTTCGGTCGTTTTTGTTGTTGTCATTGTCACTGGTTGTGGTTTTGGTTGTCATTTGGAAAATTGATAATCCCAAAGTCATTCGGTGCATTGTTATTGGGTTTTGTGATCCAGCAGTATTCATACTTATAATGGAGGTCATTTGCTATTATTCGAAGAAAACATTATTTTACTCAGCTTTGTTCTCGAACTCAATATATCACTGATAAGTGCACATAATTGGCATTTAAATTATTGGCTTTCGTATAAATTTTGTAAAATAATTTCTTAAATATATGACTATTTTATACATATATAAATATGAGTTACATGCCTTCGCTTGCGATATCCTTCGAAGAGAGGCAGACTTAATAAAAATCAAATATAACCGCCGAGTAGTTCAAGTAGATGAAACAAATTCTTATTTGACGAACGCACGAAAGATTGTAGCGATAAAAAAATGCGATGTATTTTAAGATATATCCACCTTAGTCTGAAACAATCAGTGTAGTCCAGAAGCAAGAATTTTGTACTTTCTAACTTATTCTATTTAAACAACATCGACAGCGCAGATTAATTGATGTACGTATTTTTGCCTTTATAATCTATGTTCACGATTAACTTTCTCACCTCTTATGATTCACGACTTCGAATCCTATTGTCCACTTAGTTCGATGTTGAATGGCATACAATCGACTAAGCTTTCATAGTAAGTGGAATCAAAGCAACAACGATATGGAAGTGCAAGCGATAATATCCGTGTTTATAGTAGAATAGACTTTTTTCTTCAGCAAGAATGCTGGTATAGAAGTAATATTTCAATGCCATTTTTATGAAGAGAGTTTTCGCACAATGTAAGAGAGTCTCTTAGCTCAACGTCACAGTCATTACGTCGCTTCTTCCTCAACAAGCTTTCCGTATTCGGAAAACGGAGTTACCCTGAGTGAATTTTATAGTAAATCCAACTATTAAATAGCTGAATTATATTTTTGATATTTTAGTACTTCAATACTTTCATTGCTCAAGTATATATACAGTATTGGCCAAAACTAAGGCACCCCCTTCATAGGTGTAAAGAAAAACGTCTCTAGGCTTACATTTTGTAGTAAACTCATTACTTTGGATGGCTGAAGCGAATCTTTTAGGCATTGAAAATATCAAACTATCGTTAACATCCTGAGAAATGCGCTGTCATGCTAATTTTATAGCTTTTAACAATTCGTCCTCCTTGGTTCTACAATGCTCCCAATTGGTTTGTATATTTACGATCTCCCATTAGTTCTCAATAGGATTGAGACCAGGGGCATTTCAAAGGCAGCTCCTCCTCAGCATATGGCAGCATCACATTTTATAAAAGTTCATTTATTTAAGGAAATCAACATTGGCAAAAATTGCACCAGGGGTTGCTTTAGTTTGGACTAATACTGTATGTTCTCAAAGTACAGTCCCCAGAAGAGACAGAGATAAATGGAGGAGTAGGAATTAAAAATAATATATATTACGTAAAGAGATTGATTAAAAGAGAGGGAAAGAGAGATGAAATTAGTTACAAGAACTTAATTTTTCATGAAGTGAAGTTGTAAAGTGGCATATTACCTATTCCGGTATAAGGTAAAATTTAGTATTCAAATATCTATTCTTTCCATCAGTTGCTCTCTATGTCGTGGACTACAACCCAGCGGTTAATTAGGCTTCCTTTGTTCCCCTGCAGGCTCTAGCTTCCACGGATTTGATGGGTTTGAGAAAGGCCTGGGATTAGGCCAGGGACGCGAGCGCAAGTTGGCTCATACACCTTTTCATGGTCCTTCAACTTGCATTTGATATTCACCATATTATCTGTTCACTGCTTCCCTACGAGTTCTCAAACAATTGAACTTTCTATTGCCAAACTAACTATCCTTTATCGCTTAGTAGTCAACAAAAAATCTAAATAGATTTCTTTATTAAAGTGGTACTAAAATAACGTTTATAATCTCTGCTTGAAAGACCGGGTTGTAGTAATTGAGCTTGAAGCGGTATTCTTTATTGTGGCATTAACAGAAGTTCATGGATCTTGTCTTATCTAAAGCGCATTCAAACATATCGGTATGGAAGTAGGTGGCTTGCACCTGCCAACAAAAGCACTAGGACTTACGATCAGTAGGACCATTAAGCTTCACTGTCCATTTATTTCGCTTGACCCTGAAATTTGGGTTTTTACCTCGCTATCTGTAATCTTCGAATAGCAATGAATAGAGCAATGAATTCTCCATGCTATAGAATATGTAGCCTGAACTATAGAAAGATCTTAATATTCTTCTATTTTTTCTTAGAGGTCACAGTAGACATCGCTTATTGAATTTTTTTCTCTTTGAATTTGGAATTGCCCAAAATGTACGTTGTTTCATTGAATAGCAATTAAAAATCATAGACTACATTTAGGCAATGCAGTAAAATTTTAAGGAATCCGAATATGTGATTCGATTGGGAAACTGAATATGTAGACCAGCAGAAGTATGCAATTTACGTCTGATTACGCTCTGTTAGTATCAAAAGGCTCACAAATTTACCAAAACTGCTGCAGGAAGACAGCCCACAGTGGCACACTTTAACGCGGTTTATTAAAAATTCTCGAAAAGCATTCGCGTTTCGTTGGCGCAAGATGCTTCAAGCCAACAATTTGTGCAATCTCGCGCCACGGATATGTGAGTGGGCATTGTATGCATGTGGGTTTGGATGTACACTCTTTTTGGTCTAACGTTGAACGGGAAATGAACAACCTCATGCGTCGGATGTCGCTGTTTGCTGCGGGGCACAAACTATGCCCATATATTTGTTTTCTGTATGTGCGCCTTCGCATTGTGCAACACTTATTACTGATATAGCAATGCTACATACTAAGAACTGGATGTGTGGGTGCTATTGCGGATACTGTGATGCTGCTAAATGCATTTTCAATCACTTTACAAAGCAACTGTAACACAATGCAACACGCCAGTAATGTGGCCGAAAGAACATTACTGGCATCATTGTGCGGCGAACAAGCCGAGCGAAACGGAGGTGGTGGTGGTGGTGGTTGAGGCTGGTGTAGGAGAAGAAGGTGCAGTAGAATTAGTTGCGCATTCTCAGTACGCCCAGCACTTTATAGGCTCCCCAAGCGTAGTTTTTGTGCGTTGTATTGACTGCGCTTGTTTATCGCGCTCATAATTTCCTTGGTTAATATGGCATTGTTCGCGCTTTGGTAGCATATTTCAATTGGGGGAGAGAAAACTTTGGAGCTGAGCGGTGCGATAACACATGCATCCACACTCACAAGTACTCACGTTTAATATCCATGTAGGACTCTTGTGATAAACAGGCGCAGACAGTGACCTTTCAACGGCACTTCATTTGGACGTAAAGTGTGAAATGATGGTACATTAGCGATTCATTTTCAGTGCTGGCAGTTATATGTACGCGTTGGTCGTTGTTGTTTTTGTTTTGTTTGCTTTTTTTAAATCTTCAATGCCTTTTAATGAGCTGGCTTCAAGAGTTTTGAGTGCGGGTTTTAGTGTTCAATATAACGCTTAAATGTTGGCAAATTTTTCATATATATAATTTTTAGTTTATATAAAACATTGCCTACATTTGGGCGCACTTGAAATATTTCCGGAGCTGCTTCATTTAGGGAAGAAGTGACATATGCTGCAGAGCAGAAGTTTACTTGTACGATTAAATTGCTTCGGTTTCGACTGTGCATACTTTTTTAAATAAATGTATTAACTCAAAGGAACTCAAAGCTCAACAGAACCAATTAGAATTATAATTGAAAACAAGGAATTATTTTTAACTCTGATTGTAATGCAAATACCAATTTTCCTCAACCTCTTTAACGTCACCGTCAAACAGGGCATTTCTTCAGGCACATCTCACGATTTGAGCTAGGCTATTAAATATCAATATTAAAGCGTCTGTAGAACAACTCGAAACACCCCGTATATGGAATATCTTCAGAAGAACTATTAGGCCATCATTACTAACATATGGAACATAAAAATGTTGGAACAGGTTCAACATACCCGTCTAGAGGGTATAGGCGCGATAGGGATTACGTCAGAAAAGGTCGCGGAAGTAATAATTAAAATTAAGCTGGTGAATGGCAGCATTTGTAGAGTTACATCAGAGCTCGGGCTAACGTAGCATACTACCTAACCCCTCGGGTGAAAGGTACCTACTCTCTGCGAGCAGGGAATAATGGTTCTAAAAGTGGAGCAGGCACAAAAGCAGGGTTCTGTAATCCAAATGTCTCAGAACATATAAGGAGGCTATTACAAACTATCACTAGTAAACAAGGAAAAAGAGCCGGGTCACGCTGGCAAGGCAGCGCATTATGGAGAAACGCTCCTAACCCATGACGTATAACTAAATTACTGCGAGGCTTAATATCGAAAGAAAGATCTGACGCTTCTTATTATATAGCAAAAAGGTTAGAAAAATTTTCTACCTAATGTTTTTCGCCTTTCTCTTTGGTCAGTAACCAGAATGAGAGATAAAATGTTTTTGTTTCATAAATATATTCAAGCTTTTTAAAGTTACTCTGCCAGAAGCTATCAGTACATTGGATTGAGTGTATTTTGTTGCTCCCAAAATATCAGAATGTACGAAAACAGGGCTCAAAAGTTGATTTTGTGGGAACCCTACACCGCATCAAGCTTTAATCTTTTCTTTTAAGAGATCTGCGTCATTAAGACCGTACTGTAGAAAATTAAATCCAAAGTAAATCCAGGAGACTTGTAGTTTCATTACAATCTATACTATCCTCCTCCATATAATAGCCGTAACAAGATTTAGACAACTTTTAGGTAGTTTTATTGGTTGCATTTCAAGGTTCATCTGAACTTACTGCTTGAATGTTTATTAATTTTATTAATTTTTGCTCTCATTTTATTTTAGACTATTTTCTAACAGTTTGCTTTTTTTTATTTCTCTTTTCCAACAGACTGATTTAACCTACGCCGAATTAGCTGGCCCTGGTAGTGGACCACGCATGACGCCCTATTGCAGCGCCACATTGGGTCGTCCACGACAAACGGAATTGAAGCGAGCCGAACCGAATATCTATTCACAGGTAATAAAAATGATGGACGATGATAGTCCGACCGAAGAAATTGCCATTGAATGGCCTAGAACCATAAGAACAACAATACCAACACGCACAACATCTACAAGCAGCTTACATCCATTAGTACAAGCAGCGGCAGCAACAACAACGGCTGTAGCTTACGTGGCCGGACGTTCGACAAGGGTGTGAATGATAAAAGATTGTTAAGGCTAAAAACTAAAAAAAAAAATACTAAACAAGCAATAACTAACATGAATATATACATACATGGTTATGTGTGAGCATAGCATATATGTATACATACTTATATACATAGTGAAGTATTTCAAATTAATAGACGCAGAGATAGATGGGATTAGCTGAACTTAGAAGCTTAGAGTTCAAGTGAAAGTCAATATAATTGAAGAAAAAACGAAGCAATAAAACGAATGAGTACGAAATTGATTATTTTTTATTGTTTTGATTTGAATTTATATTTCTTCTTTTAAATTGAGGATAAGCTTAAGACCATTTCCATGTACAGCATCTTCTAGATAAATTTTTTTTTACTAAAAGCAGCAATAAAATCTTGAGAGAGAGAAATGTGAGAAATTCGTAAACGTGGCCTACAATTAGGAGCGTGAATTTCACATTTAAGTGCAGGCACCTACCTACTACTTTGTAAAAGTACTTCTAATATTCTTTAATGGCAGATAAAGCTGAAATTCGCGTTATCATCGATTGCAAACAAATAAATTAAACTTTATTTTATATAAATTTATGATGAAAATATGTTAGCCGACTACTAACATAACAAAAAGCACAGACTCTTCGATGCACTCGAACACAAAGTGCAGTAGTATTATATATGCCTTCTTCAACTTTTCTTTAGCAGACAACATCTATACCCCTTTGATGCTCGTTGCTCAGCAACTAAACACGTAGCCATATAATTTATCTTCATTTCCGTATAAACTTAGTGTTGTATACATTTCCACTTTAATATCGATTTATTCTTTCTCAATAATAGCGAATGTGTTGAAGTAAACGGTGTGCTTACCCAGCTCCGAGGAAAATAAACTAGAGAAATTTATATTTTAAAAAGATTTATGGGAATTGATTACATTTATTGGGAATGCTCTAAAATAAGTTAAATTAAATACAACAAAATATCCAAACAAAAATGGCAATAATATGAATTAAATATTATAAAATTATATAAAATAAAATAAAAGAACAGAAAAAATATCATAAAGAAATATAAAATTAAAACCAACTAAATATTTTAATATAAAATTATATTAAATTAATATAAAATATAATTTTTGGACTTATAGTTTGACTTTAGATTAAGATTTTAATGCTTATTGTTAGGCTTCCGAGGTCGTAGCAGATTCAATAAATAAATACTAATGTTAAGAAAAAAAAAATAATAAAATAAATTAGTTTAAAAAAAATTTAAATAAAACAAAAAATAATAAAAATAAATTAAATGAACTGAAAAAAATAATAATCGAAAATAAAAAGAAAAAAATTAAAAAAAATACCATGCCAAATAAAAAAGAAGTCTTGTACTTAATTAAATTAAGTAAGTACCACAAAAATAAAATAAAACTAATAAACAATTTTAATAAGAGCATTAATTAAAATAAAAAGAATGTAAATTAAAATAGAATGAATGAAGTAAAATAAAATAAATAAAAAAACTAAGTTGAATTAAAATACATTAAATGAAAAAAAAATCAAATAAATTAAAATAAATTGAAATAAAATGAAACGGATTAAAATAAAAGAACTTCAATTAAAAGAGAAAAATAAAATAAAACAATATGTTAATTATAACAAAATAAAATAAAATTATTTTAAATAAAACTAAAAAAATTAAAACAAAATAATTAAAAATATTAAAACAAATAAAATTATATTAAATTAAATTAAATAAATTAGAATTAAATGAAATAAATTCGCTTGGAAAAAATAAAAATATAACATAATTAAATCATATTAATAATATAAAATAAAGTAATATAAAATATAGTAATACAAAATAATAATTTAAAATAAATTAAAGAAAAATAAAATAAAATAAAAAATACAATAAGATAAAATACAATCAAATAATTTAAAATAAAATGAAATAAAATAAAATAAAATAAAATAAAATAAAATAAAATAAAATAAAATAAAATAAAATAAAATAAAATAAAATAAAATAAAATAACATAAAACAAAACAAAATAAAATCAAGCAAATAAAAATAAAATGAAATTGAATGAAACCAATTAAAATAAAGGAAATTAAATTAAAAAAGAAAAATAAAACAAAATTAATAATTAATTATAACAAACTAAAATAAAACAATTTCAAACAAAATAAAATTAAATTAAATAAATTTATATTAATAAAAATTAAATCAAATTAAATTAAAATAATTAAATTAATTGAAATTAAATGAAGCAAATTTGTTTGAAAAACATTTAAAAAAATAAATACTTTTGTCTTAACTTTAAATAAAATAAAATTAAATAAAATCAAATAAATTGAAATAAAAGGAAAAACAAAATGTTTGAAAAAAACGAAAATAACATAAATAAAATAAAATGAGATCATATAAATAAAATAAAATTAAACAAGATTAAAATAAATTAATTAAATCAAATAAAGTTAGTTAGAAAAAAAAACAAAATAAAGTTGTACTTAAAAAGGAAATAAAATAAAACAAATGAAATAATAAAAAAATTTAAATAAAATGAATTAAAATAATAATAAATATAATATAAAATAATTAAATAAATAGAAACAAACTAATACAAATGAATTATGTTTAGAAATAAAATAACATAAAGTAAAAAAATTAAGTTAAATTAAAGGAAATAAATTTAAATAAATAGAAAAAAAATGTATGAAAAAAAATTAAATCAAATAAAAAAAATTGGAATATTGTAAAATAATTACATTTAAATAAAATAAAATAATAAACAAATTGATAAACTGGAATAGGATAATTATATGAAATGAAATTTAATTAAATGAAGTAAAAAAATACATAAATAGTATAATATAATAATAAATCAATCTACAGCTTAAGCAACTTGCAAAACATGGTTTGCTTATAAAGTAACCAGACGAAAAGAAACGATAAGAAACGATGGGAAGCGATGCTGGTTTCGGTATATTGGAGTTAATCAAATTTATTTTGTTCGTCGTCACAAAAATAAATTATTGTTCATTTAAAGCGAAATTCAGAAATAACTCTCAATTAACAAGAGAACATCTTCTCTTTCTGTAAGTGAGCCTAAAACCGATCTATTCAGAAAGATCGGATTTTTTATTCGATTTAGGTGGTTTTTGGTTTAGAGTTTGCATTTTGCTCAAATTGGCATGGGGGAGACCTATGTATTCTTCTGGAAAGTGAGCCGACCTATTCGATAGAATCGAATTTGTGGCTCGCTTTGCTTTCTATTTAGAACATACATACAGAGCTCGTAAACTAGATAAATTGCAAAAAGTTGGAGGGGTTTTTTGGGATTTGATTGAAACCTGGGACCAGTTTCCTTCTGAAAATCGGAACAGAGACCTCTCTTCCCTATCTTCACTCAATAGTAGATTAATATTGGAAAAGATTCTGTTAATACAAAAATATGAAGTGCGTAAAAAGCATGTTGATAACTAACTTCATACCACTGTACCTCTAGGAGTGACCTACTTCCTACACACACATAAATATTTACTAAATAAATATAAAATTGCGCTGTCTGCAACACACTTAACCCTTGTGTGAGTGCCTATACCACTCATCCACATTAGTAACACAAAGCACTGGTGAGTGGCTCAGCGGTGGGCAATTGACTTGATCAGTAACGATGGCGCACACTGTACGATAAAGTGCTGCAATGCAAGAGCCAAAGTCAAGTTTATTTATTTACTGAACATGGCATTTGAAAGTTTAAGCCCCTAAGCTAAAAATTTATTATTATCTATTGCAAAATAAACACATACGCACACACACACACACACAAGCGGGGAATGGACATAAATAAGTGTGGAAAAGTGGCAAACATATATACATACATACATGCGAAACGTAAGCCTCTAGAATGTTGTAATAAGAAGAGCAATAACAAATAAATAAATACAAAAAAGTGTTTGTCATTTGAAAGTCATCACATAAATACTGTGTGCACTAGCAGAAAAGCAACAGAAGAGAGATGGAAAAAGGAAAAAACTAAAACCACTAAACAGCGCGTTGTACGAGTTTACACTAGTGATTTTTTCTTACACAATTGCAAACGCTTGATTCCTTTTGTTTTTCAAATTTCATACACTTTTTTTTTACTTTTTACCACACATCCGCTAACGTTGCAGCAGCTTCCTGCTTCCTCGCTGTACAACTTGCATCCACATCCTCGCCTACTGCCTGCTGCCTGCTGCCTGCAGCTACAAATGCGAACCAAGCTTAGCTGTTTGATTGTTTGCCGGTTGTTGTGGTCTGATTGCGGGTAACATGAAGCGTCATCGTGTAGGAAAAGTTGCACTTTGTTCTTGTTGTTGCCACAATATCAGCAAGCAGCGGCGTTGGGAATGAGTTCACATTACACTTTTGCTTGTTTTTCATTTGTTCCCAACTAACGGTGTTGCGTGCGTATAAAGCTTGCCTGTTTGTTTGTTTGTTTGCATTGCTTATTGTTGTTGTAATATGAGTACAAAATGTTGTTGCTAAGCAAGTTAGATTGCAATTTCAATGTGGTCCTGCTATGTCCTGTCGCTACTGCATACCAACATTACCTACACTATGACGTGAGCACATACAAATGTACACACGAAAGCAAACAAAGCGTTCAGCTTCACACGCACATAGCCCTCACCTCTAATGCAGGCTCCACAGTGCGCACACATTACTTTTGCCTTACATTCATATCCACATTGCTCCACTACAGTAGTTTGTGTGATTCTTTTGTTTTGCCAGCAACTATTATTACGACTTCACTTATTTTTGTCGCTTTTCCTCTTTACCAATTTTTATCACACTACAAATGCAATACAATTCCGAAATTCGAGTTTTATTGTTCAACAAGCATATTATATTTCGAAAGAACACACCAACTTGCAAGGGCACACACAAAATATTGGAAGACAAAAAAAATAGTCACTGGCTTGTTGTAAAACAGTCCCACCTTTCAAGAGACAAATATTTGTTAAAGCAG